TACAATTATTTGAAAATCTGGAATCTGAGGGTGCAAAAAAAAAACAAAATATTGATAAAATCGCCTTTAAAGTTGTCCAAATGAAGTTCTTAGCAATGCATATTACTAATCAAAAATTAAGTTTTGATATATTTACAGTAGGAAATTTACAAAATATCTTTATGGAACATGATCTTTAATTAATATCCTAATGATTTTTGGCATAAAAGAAAAATCAATAATTTTGACCCATACAATGTATTTTTGGCTATTGCTACAAATATACCCCAGCGACTTAAGACTGCTTTTGTGCTCCAGGGTCACATATGCCTATATAGATTTTATTCCTTTTTTATTTTTGTTTTAGTTTTCGTTTAGTTAAACTAGATTAAAATGTTAAAAATGTTGCCTCGGTAGCTAGCTGAATTAAAACATTTTTTATATATTTTATTTTATTTCAGTTAATGTTTATTTTATTTCAAGTCAAATGTTTTTTGATGGTTTTATTTTTATTTCCAGTTTTAGTTATAAGCGCTATAATAACCTTAAAGTTCTGAAATCTATATATGTGCACTGCATAAATTAGGTCTAAAAAGTTCACTAGTAATATAACTGCTTTAATTATTAACTGAGAAATATTTTATTCTATTTTATATTAGTTTTTAAGTACCAAAAACATATTTTGCTGTATATCTCACATTTTTCTCATAAAATGAATAGGAAAAACTATATTTAGTTATCTCCTGATGCTGATGATCCTACTTTCACTGATCATTTTTGGGGGGAAAAAAGTCTTAATTTATGTACTATGTTCATGGACAGTGAAAATATCTTTACCAGGATGCATATAATCTTCAGTGAAATCAGAGTGCATTGTTTTGTTGTTAATACGATCGTAAGTATATATTTCCCTTCTCGTGCACCAGGTGCCCGGTGGCAGGCTGTGACGGTCAGGGCCACGTGTCGGGTAAATACACGTCTCATCGCAGCGCAGGAAGTTGCCCCATCGCCACCAAGCTGCAGAAGGAGAGCTCTGTGAACGGATCTGCCTTCTCCTGGAAGCTCTGTAAACAGGAGCTTCCGCACTGCCCTCTGCCCGGCTGCAACGGCTTGGGTCACGCCAACAACGTCTTTATCACACACAGGAGGTGAGGAAACTATACGATAACCTGGAACTTCAGTTCTGATGTTAAACCTAGTATCTACTGTATAATGAGACCTCTTGACCCAACCTGAACACATTCACTGTGAACTTTCTGAGTTGTCATCCGAGTTGTTTTGTACATATATATTATATTATCTTATATTACATTGAAATGTGATATACTTTAAATTAAATTCTAGTATGTTATATATAATGTAATAACACTATACATTATATAATATATAAAATGTTTACATAAATGAATATTAAAATACATGAATATATACATGTTGACTTCAGAAATAAGATAACAAAAGTATTTATGATTCAAAATGTGCATTTTGTTCTGTAAATATTTATACACAATACAGAACTCACTATATTATTATTCCAATAAATTTCCAATATTATTACTATTATATCCTATCAAGCTAACATATGTGGATTATTAATGTTGTTTGATATTCAACTACACAAATATATACAGGTTGACTTCAGAAATAAGTAAAAATAGCAGTATTCATTGTGCAAAATATGTATTTTCTTCTGAAATTAATATATATCTCGAGTTTATTAATTTTTGACCACCATTACAGTATCCAATAATGTTAGTATTTGTAAATGTAAACATTCTGTGAATGTTGCTGATTACGGTCATATATTATACTTATGATCTGAAACTAGATTATAATTTGTGTAGTTAAAAAAAGAAAAACTCTAAATTGCTAGTACTGATCTGTAGATTTTGTGTTTTATCCCTTGACAGTTTGTCAGGATGTCCACTAAACGCCCAGAGTATCAAGAAGAAACTCTCCGATGAGGAGATGATGACCATCAAACTCAAAACCAGCAGCGGTGAGTAATTCAAGCGCTTAAAAACGATAAAAGAGCATAAAATGAAGCTAAATGCTGAATGTTTGACACACTAATATTATCATTGTAGTGTGCGATAAGAAGAAGAAGAAGAAACATAAAGAGCTTCAAAAGTTACTGCAGCTTTCTCAAGCACTATGGTTGAGATTAACATTGCCTGGCTTGTCTTCTGTCAATCAGGTATCGAAAACAGTGAAGACATGCAGCACTTGGATCACGAAATAAAGGAGCTAAATGAATCCAATCTGAAGATAGAAGCAGACATGATGCAGCTCCAGACTCAGGTAAATAACATGATATGCATTCATTTGACCTTCTTACACGCTGAGCATTGTGGGTAATGTAGTTTCAGAGCTGAAGTTTTTCCCTGTTTTAAAACAGATTTCATCTATGGAGTGCAACCTGAAGACTATCGAGGAGGAGAATAAAATAATCGAGCAGCACAACGACAGTCTGTTGAAGGAGTTAGCGCATCTCAGTCAAGCACTTATCAACAGTCTCACAGATATCCAGCTGCCGCAGATGGTGAGACGGACCTCACGCTGAAACATTTACACCGACCGACACGCTCTGATAAGCATGTAAAACATAACCTGATCTCTGTCAACAAATATTATTACACCGTTTTTGATCACTGCATAAGGTCCCTTACAAAAATAGGTCACGGTAACTAACTATACTGTAAAAAAAAATACGGTTTTCAAGTAACATAATACTTTAAAAATATGGCATTAAGGTTTCTGCAGGATTTATGAAGGCCAAGTTAAGACTTTTCAAATATGTGTTTAAGACGAAGTAAAGAAAATGATCGTTTTCTTACCTTATTGAGATATATTTGTTATTGTTTTAAGAATAAAATCACTTAAATTTGTTCAATTTCTCAGAAAACAAGACTTCAACTATCTTCACATTGCAATTCAAGTAAATGTAACAAGACAGTATTGTATGCATTTATTCATTTATTTAGTGCAGTGCATGCAACATTAAATTTAATTTAATAGAACTTTGTGTTCTGATTAAGACCTTTTTAAAGCCTTTATTTGTGGTTGACCCACAAAACCCCTGTGTTAATATTAGTTAACTACATTAATTACCATAAACTAACAATATAAAATAATTCTAAAGCAGTTAATGTTAATTTCAAAATGTACAAAATGAAAAGATGATAGCGATAACAGAGATGAATAAATACTGTATCAAATGCTCATTGTTAATGTTAGTTAATGCATTAGCTAAAATAATATTAAAAAGATATTTAATATGGCCAAATCCAATTTAATCAATTTTATCAGCTATAAATATTTCCTTAAGGAACCAGCTGCACATTTGATATTTTACAGTGTATTTTCTAACAAAGTACTGTAGCTACTACAGTAAAACTGTGGTAACTTGGTATTAGCCACTACTGTCATTATTACAAGACAATTTAATAGCCACACGAGTCTTAAACTTGTTTGCAGGCTAATTTAAGTTAATATGATGTAATAAATACATAATATATTCAAAGAAATTAAGGATACGGGTTTATATAATATTAAAACAAAATGGGAAATTGAATTAGATAATAAAATAACAAAGGAGATTGGAAACAAAGTTTAAAAGAAAATGTAAGAACTACGCAATCTCCATATTGGCAAGAGTATGCTTGGAAAATCAATATGCGATATTTTATAACACCAGAAATATCTTACAAATATAATCATTTATTTGCAGCATGTTGGAGAAGCTGCGGTGAACTTAAAGCCTATTATACTCATATATTTTATACTTGCAAAATAAAAATAAAAAATGTGGACAGAAGTAATTCAGGTAATAAAAGAAATTTTTAAGAAATCAAATATAATAAAGGTACAAAATAGAGTTTTGGGTATAGGACCTACGCTACTTAGTAAAGATGAGTTATATTTATTTAGAATACTGAGAAATACAGCTTTTAAAACAATAACAACATTTTGGAGAAGGCAAGAATCCCCAGTTTGAAATGATTGGTTAGATTTAACTCTATGGAGAGGATAACATATGAAATTAAGAGTAAACGTATACATTTTGAAAAGATATGGGCACCTTTAAAATCAAAGTATATATTATAAAATAAAGGAATACATATACTAATTACCTCTATATAATTCTACCTCCCTTTTAATTTATTCATGAATTATTTTTAATTTATTTAATTAATATTATAATTAATTAGTCTTAAATAATATTATTTGAATTACTTATTAGGAATTAGGTGTCATTATAAGAGTTTGATATGAATATGTGGATTTTTTTTTATATGAAAAAGTGTTTTGGTTATCGTTCTAATTATTATTTTTTTTCTTTGTGCATTGGTGATAGGTATTATCACAAGAGAAAAAAAAGTGAGGGAAAAGAAAGTAGAAGGAAAAATTAGGAATAATAATTGGTAAAAAAAAAAAAGATGTCTTTAAAGGAAATGTTCGTTTGTATAACTGTATTAAATGTGCTTGAACTGAAAGACGTAAAGTATTAAAAAAATTATTTAATATGATGATTTACAGGAATTAATTTAATATGATTTTACTGTTGCAACAATAACTGTAGTTATTGTGGTATTTTAAGGTAAACTATAGTTCAAATTGTGCATGCATGTTTGTAAGGGATGAATGCATTTTAAAGACATTATGAAACATGCATTTTAGAGTTACTGAATTTATTGTTCTTTAATGTGTTTCAGGGTCCAATAAACGAACAGAACTTCGAAGCCTACGTGAACACGTTGACGGATATGTACAACAATTCAGAGCAGGAGTATTCACCCGAATGCAAAGCCTTACTGGACAGCATCAGACAGGCCATCAAGGGCATTCACGTATAAGGCCAAACTCTCGTTCACAACCCTTTGATTGTCTGCAGAGGGCTGGCTTTGTCATCTGTGCAAGATATGTCTCGTTTAAAACAACAACTCCATTCCATGACAAATTCATTGCACTGAAAATTACCAGCCACATTTTTACAGCTCAGTGTTCCTTTTAGTGAGATTTGACCTCCTTTTGCACTTATTTATTTCCTATGGTTTGCTTGACTTTATTCCGTATTGTTCTTTTGTGTGTTATTATATCATTGCTACTATTCATCGGTACTATTTATCTCACAGTAATCTTATTTATTGATTTATTTATTGATTTATTTATTGCTATCATTTTTGCTGCAACTCCAAAAATGCAAGGCCAATCTTACATATTGTGAATTTTATTTTGCATTTGTTGTACAATAACTGGGAGTTTTAGTCGTTCAAAATATATCACCATGACTTTTTCTTCACAACTGATGTCAAATGTAAAAATAGCCCACTTGCGCCACCTGTTGGTGAGCAGCTGTTATTGGTCTATTAGAGCCGTACTGTATGCATCCCTGACTTATTTTTTTAATGTAGTTAATGTACCCCACTGAAATGACATCATTTGTTTTCATGCATAAATTCTAACAAGTGAGCAAAAAGAAAAATATTTTATCCGATTAACTCTCCAAACGACTGTACAGTGAGCAAAAATCAAATCATCCACACACACAAAATGATTTCCGTTTCTGTTCATATGAACTGCCTTTGGTGTGCACATCCGTGTGTGCATATATGTGCCTAAATGTAAATGAGTACATGGAATATGATATGTTTTGTGGTAGAGCAGTATTATGTGAATGGTGATTCATTTTATTCTGCAGTATATTTCTTTTCTGAATGAAAAGCCTCTAAACTCGGTTTACCTTTGTTTATACGCCATTTTAAGTACGTAACGATATTCTTGTAAAAAAAGTGTTTTATGATCAGGCACAATACGGTTTTTATTCTTTTCTGTGAGACTGAACTCCTCAACCTTTGGCTTCTTTTGTGCGACAAGCGGTGGGCTCTCAAATAGGTTTTATGGATGATATTTTCTCAAAGCACTTCGTGTCTTCAAGCCACTAAAATAGAAAAATTGACAATTTACAGCAAAAGAACGGCAATAGAGTAATCTTTCCGTTTTGACTGGATCTGTACCACTTGATTTTGTGTTTAAATGCACGGCCGAGGTCACCTTATTGCTGTGTTACGATCACAAACGGCCTCGTCGCAGCACTTTTAAAGCTTTCTCTAACACTAAACGTACCCTTTTGCACTTTTATTCTGTTATTTAGTGTTTATTTTGACAAATGCGTGATCAGTGCGGGTTAATTAGCACACTGAAGGAGTTTAACCTTAGTTTTACGTTGTCCATTGATAATGTCAAAAATTGTGTTTTTGCAGGTCATTCAGATGGAATAAAACACTATTATCTGACCAAATGTGCATAACGAATTGTATTCTCAATAAAACCGAATCTTTTTTTTTTTGTTGTTGTTGATGAAATCCTAAATTACTGTATAATTCATGATTAATTCTGTTTCAGTTGTTTGTAATTCCTAATTTTTAATTTATAAACCACAGATTGTTTGCTCAGGAAGTTTTGTGAGGAATATTTATTTTTCCTTTTTGTATTTGATGTTTTGTAATGTGATATGAATTTTTTTGTGTAAAAGAAAAAAATAGTATAATACACAGTACTGTAAATGATTTAGTTTGTTTTTGTTTTAAAAAATGTTTTTTGTTTTTTTCAGTTCGAGTAGTTTGTATATCAGGATTTCCTTACACTTTTCAAATTTCATAAGCAGTACTGCGCTGTGTTGTACAGTTTGTGTATGGTAGAAATAAACTATTGAAATGATCTGCATAGCACTCATTGTACAGTTGCTCATATTAAAGTCCTATAAAAATAATATAATTTATATTAAAGCTCATATACAAATATTTACTAGATCTAGATCTATATGAAGAGTGCATTTGAGATATATATATATATATATATATACTGAATAATTAACTTATTTTACTATATATATTTTAGGTTCAAATTTTCATAAATATACATACTTTTTGGTGGTTTCACATGGTCACTAAATTTTTTTCTTCTCTAGTTCATTTTAAATACTCTTGATGTAAAAAAAATAATTTTTTAAATGATAAACATTCCATATAGTCTTGTATTTAATTAATAAAACTGCAAAAATACACTGTAGAACTTGAAAAAAAAGAGGCTTGAATCTTCATGAAATCATAGGTAAGCATTTTCCTCCTCACAGAAGTTTGTTGTTGTAATGGCTTCCACATTAAATAAAAGTTAAAATCCCAAATTATACAATTTGCAAATCAATTTGACAGTGTAACATTTAAAACGTTTTTGACTCAACTAATTTACCGTCAATTTTTCACTCTGTTCATTTTAAGTGCTCTTGCTATGTGAAAAAAAAAACATTTTTGAAAGTATAAATATTCCATAAAGTCTCATATTTATTCATAAAACTGCAAAAATATACTGTAGAAATTGCAAAAATGTCTGAAAAGGTTGAATCTCCATGAAATTTTGCTCCTCACAAAAGTTTGTTGTTAATGGCGTTCCGATTACATCAACGCTCAAATCCAAAATGTATTATTTTGGAAATCAAATTTGAGCGTAGCATTTTAAATTGTGCTCTTTGACATGTTCTAGGCCTAGGGAACATTATAAGATTTTCAAAAACAATTTTCATATTTACCAGCAGATGGCGTATGAATGCAACTTTGCGGTACAAACGGTTTCAGGCCTTCGTTCCCGGAGTCGAAACACTGTAAGTAGGCTATCCAAAAAAAAAAAAGGCGCTGATTTCAGTTTTAGCAACTGCAAGAACAAATAAACAATACATTTGAAGCAGTTTGACTGGTTAAATCCCTACACAATGAGGTATTTTCCTCTTCAGGCCCCTCACGTGACCCTACAGCACCAATGAAATCTGCGCCGTGTAAATATGGTGTTCGGTTTGTTACCCTTTGTAATTATCTTGTGATAATTATCAGAGTAATTTATCCTTGCCTTTGATGAGTTGATGATGATGCAAATTACATCTAATTACCTGAAACATGGCTCAGCTTTCCTGTTACAAGTCACCTACAAACAAACCCAACAATTATTAAACGGTCCGTGACAGACGTGCACAGCATACAGGTGTATGTTTAAGTTCTGTTGATTCACCTGAATCTCTCAGTGGGATATGCTAACATGCCACGCTCATGGCGATTTACAGAAATCTCATGAGAATCAGAGAAAAAGCAGAGCTGCTCCTGGCCTGGGTTTGGTCTTGGGTCTTTGACTCACTGCGCCAGTGAACTTCTGCAGCCACCCCAGGCCTCACAATACTAGCTGTCCTCACTAGCAAATACTGCCTAGTAATGAGCTGCACTTTATTTAACTACGTTTTAAAGGTACTAATACTCATGCAGATGACAAATGTAAATAAGCTGCTGTATGCATCAAAATTAGCTGGGTGCACAATTTTTAGTACGTGCTTTGACATAAAGTGGTCTTCTCATCTTAAAGGCAGAGTAAGTGATTTTTCAAAAACACTTTAGAAAACTGATTCGGGCCGAATCGCAAAACAAACTTGTAACCAATCAGCAATGATGTGGAGGAGAGCGCGTTCAGTGCATGGGACGGACATTAGCCGAGCCGAGTGACAGAAAGATAGAGATGGCGGATAAAAAACAAAAGAGGAAAACGTCTGCGGAACAATAAGGCAAGAAGTAGGACCCGTGTAAATATCGGATCAGCTTTCCAGCGCTGGAGAGAACTCAAGGAGCGGAGGCCTGCGATCGGACGCCGAGGTTGCTTTGTTTCTTCTCAATAGGTGAGTAACACCGTGTCTACAACAACTAAAGTCTGCCTACACTGGACGCGAGAAAGAGGTCAAACGACCGTTGAAAACCATTTGAAATTTGTGTCAGCACGTCATAAATAGAACCCGGCAGCAGTTTTCTGTCGGGGATTTGTTGCACCGCGCCGCTCACGTCCGTAGACACAGTGTAACATTGGTTTTGCTTTGTTTCACAGAACTAATCGTTGCCTGGGTTGCGTACGTATATGTGGGGCGGAGCTATCAAAATAGGGGCAAGACCCTGTTGGGATAGGGGCGTGTTTGTTTTGGTGATTTCAAATATCAACATTGGCTACCAGAAATCGCTTACTCTGCCTTTAATTTAATGAACTATTATGTGTGTATGTGTATATATACATACACCCAGACATAGTAGTTTATTATGTTAAATATATTATATTTAATTATTATATATTTTTTATTGTTGCCTATTTAATATATCAAATGCAAGAATAAAATTTGTTTTAATATAATAAATTATTATTTAATACAATAAATTATGACATGTATATAATAAATAGCTATGAATATCTGCACTTTTAAAAAAAAACTACATAAAAACGTGTTTGTGTTTATTGATTTATTTTTGTTTGTTTTTATACACATTTATTATATATTATATTTATTATTTATGTATTATATTAACTTATGTATATATATATATATAGAGAGAGAGAGAGAGAGAGAGAGATATATAAATGCTATTTAATGTAATAAATGATTATTTAATACAATAAATTATTAAATTACATTGTATATTACATTATGTTATGACTATCTGTTATATACACACATAATAGTTTATTATAACAAACAATAATATATTTTTTAAACATAAATTATTATTTAGTACAATACATTATTTATATTTATTGGACTAAATAATAGTCATATTTATTCTCAAACTAAATAAACTCTTGCTTGCTTGCTTACACACAACCCGTTAAATTAAAATATAAGCAAATAGTTTTATAAAGAATCTGCATCTAATTCCATCTGTCTTTTTTTATCTACATATGCATTCTAGGAGGGAAAAGTGCGCTATACATTTTGGGGTTAAAGGGGAGTTTTGTATGACCCTCTGTTGCTTTGAGATCATTTTACCCAGAATTTACAGTGGCCGAGAGAGCTCAACGCCCTGCAAATAGAAAAAACACATGCAAATTAAGAAAACAACTTCATCAATTTGACAACA